CAAAATTAATTGAAATGACAATTAATTTGAATCTATAACCAGCATCTGAATAAATTAGATATTGATGCTTAATCAACCGTCGTCCAGTATAAAAAATAAACCAGTAATGGTACATGTTACATAAAAATAATCTGAGTTTATCCTGAATTTCATTTCTTAATTCGCACGTATTTGGTAAAAGTAACTGCAAACGAATGGTTTGGTAAAACACAACATTTTGTAAACCTTTGAAAAATGACTTGTGTCCTTAACTCAGTGTTGCCATAAACATTGAGTTTTCGAATTATAACAGTATGGAATTATCGACAGTCATATTGGAATTGACTTTGAATCCAATCTAGCAATGCAGGAAGTTAATTATATTTTTAAGGTATACCATCAGTGTGTGTTAAATTTGAAGTGATACGTGCATCACCCTATTTTGTCTTCTTTCACGCCCCAAACCTGACTGGTGTGTTGGCTGGTACAAGGCATAAAACACTGTGGCCAATGAATATACTGTATTAGCACACATAATGCTCCATGCTGAAACACACAGTGGTTGATCATAAATGTTTAAAGTGCTTTGTAAAGTTGATTTTTATCAATATGTTTTCATTGTTCCCAAACTGCAAAACACTGGAATAGTTGGTTATGTATTTTTTTTCACAAAATTTATCATCAATATGTTATGCAAATTAAGGGCAGCTGAAATGCATATTTCGTCTGATAAAGTATAGCAATGCTGTAGTGAAATGTACAAATATGAGAAATAGTACGTTGTGATTACTAATATATACATAGCTACAGGAATTGAATAAATAAATTCAATTTTGGCCAGGTCTCTATAAAACCACCTTCACTTTTGAAATAACTGAGATTTGTTCAAATACTGTTGCATATTTTTTATATTATTTGGTTTTTGGTGAATAACAGCAAATATCAACACTGTACCAGTATATCAATTGTCTGTGCAATGTCATACATATTCATCTGATCGACCAGTATATTGGTAATGTACATGCTGATTCCATTGTTCTAAGCTTTTTCTGCAGTTGCTCCATCCAGTATGGGTTCCTTGTCGTGATTCTCTTGTATCGAATTACCATGCAGAGGCGTCTAGTAAAGTAAAAAACAGGGAAGTTATCAGGTAGTTCATTAATAACACTGACAGGCCCCAAAACATATCAGTTTGTTTTTGCTACACTAGCTAGTAAGGTGAATGTAAATTAAACATCAATTTTTGGGTTATTATCAGCAAATTTCACTATTTTGCAAGGTATGTTATAAGTAATAATTAATGGAATATTATCAATAACATGAGAATAATACAAAAAATAAGATAATAATGAATTCTGTGACGGAGTTAATGTCATGTCTGAAGCCTTGAGTCAAATGTAGTAAAAATTGCAGTATTGGGAATGAGAGTGAAATATAGTAGAGGTTTAATTATAGAGCAAAACTGAGAAAACCAAAAAATCAGTACTGTAAAATCTGTATTAGAAACCGCGGCTTCTATTAAAATGGTACAATGCAATAGAGGGAATGCGGCTTCTAATAGAGCATCTACACATCTATGAGAAATGATGAATTTTTGGTTCTCAATTATTAAAAAAAAATGGGTGCGACTTCTATTAGGGATGCGGCTTCTAATACAGATTTTATTGTAGGAGAGGGAAATAATTTATTTTAAATAAATAAAATATAGAAAATCATTGTTTACAAATGTAATACATGTAAGTACATTCATGCACAAATAACATAGTAAAATTGAAATGCAATAAATAATATTTTTTTTATATTAAATATTTATTATGTAGCATAACTCTAAATACATAGAATATTTTAATCTCCAAAGTTTTGAGTTTCAACGATTTAGTCATAATGATAAAGACACTTCAAACAAATCAACAATGCAGAGCTGCTTATTGGCAATGTAAAACAACTGATGACAAAAAAAATTGTATTGGAATTGTACCTGATATCTTCTTCTTTGTTTTCTAGCCAACAAAATCAGGGCAATGATGACAATGAGGCATCCAATACCGAACACAACCCATGGCGTTATTTTGGCCAAGTACAGAGGTACAAGTACCATATGTTTGTATTTGGTGGCACTGGCTTCGTCTATTGTAAACGACTGGAAGAAAAATACGAAAAACAAAGTGAACACAGCACATGTATTATATTTTAGCCAAAGTGGTTTACTGCATCATAATATACAATCAAAGGGAAATGTATTATATATAGATCCAATATTGTTACTTCTTCAAAAGCGGAACTATTGTCAGAACCATGGAAGGTAGCCATTAGTACCTTCCATGTCGGGACTAAGCGTGTGCAAATACAGTTCTATTACTGTTCTTGTTACCCGATTGGTTTTTACCTACATACTGCACACACTATATGTACTATATGATGTTCAAAACATAATTATTGCTCATAACTGTACTTATCATCATAAAAAACCTTTAACGATGACCAAGTATGACGCATACACACTAAACTATCAATTTTTGTCACCATATTTCCAAACATTGCCATTACCAACATGTAAATATTCATTATTGTGAAAGCTTCCCCTACTATGCATATGGACAATTTTGACTGTTATGCAAACCAAATAAAAACCGAGACATCACTTGCTTTAACTATGTAATTTCTTTTAGTGATTAGAAGGTATCAAAGGAGTCATCAGTGGTAATTAGGTAGTGCATCTTGTGCCCAGATCAAAACTACTACTACAACAACAGAAATAGTGCAGTGGGTTAGGAATTATGCATTGAAGTAGCGGTTTATCTACCTACTACTCATTAGAGGTTCAGTTGAGGTGGGCTATTGAACTACTTATTTTTTTTTAGAGTGGAGACAGAATAACATATCCCTAATTAAAAGTACTTTGTTATATGCTGTATTATATCTATTGTACCAAATATTAATAAAAAAATGGTCATTGAACCACTTTTTGTACAAAGATTATGCCAAGCAATGATGATTTTATTTTTATGGTAAAATCATGTTAATACAATGAAAAAATCATATGAATTTACAAATCGAGTATCATGGTTGTCATGAATATTATACATTTTTCATGAAATAATTTTCAACATTAATTCCTATGGGATTATAACGTCCTATTTAACAAAATATATCATACTTTGAAAAAAAAAGCTGAACATGTGAAGACTTGTGTCACAATTATGAAATGCTTTCAAAATGAAAAGAACATGATATTTTTTTGCTGTTATTTAAAGCGGTAATAGCTGTAACTATCAATGATTTGCCCTGATTGTTATTTTTAATTGCCAAAATGTTGATATGTATTAAAAGTTCAGCATATACGCTCCTATACATACCGATGTTGTACATTAATTCACTTGCAAGTGGAAAAGATGGCCACAGATTAAAATACAGTTTTGTCAAGCAAACCTTAGGAATTATAGTACAAGATGACAACAAAATGTGGGGGGGGGGGCAAGGTAAAATGTCAAATACATTGTCATCTTAACAATAAACATTGGATGCAAACGATACCATTCGAAGCATTGTATAATTTAGCTTTTTGTGTGGTATTGATTAATCTCAACACCGCACCATTTTTGAATAATTCTTAAGACAAAGAAGCAACATTTTGTTTTTACTTAACTTACTGCACAATATACAGCATAAAAATAGTGTTTACTCAAAAAGACACGTTGCTAAAATCAGCTTTCTCACATTTACATCCATTTCTATAACCCTTCATGTTATTGCTTTATGAATAAGGTTTTTGTTATCCTGGCCAATCAGAATTGAGAGTAATTACTGTTGATTAGTGAGCAAGTTTTAATTTATTATAGTACATGTACATGCATAGGAAGCCATGATTTTGAAATTATATAACCTTGAACTAAAGAGGGCGCTACGACCTGAGATTCTGTTTCACAACTAATTAGGTGATGATGGAATCTTTACTTGTATTTCCATTGCATATATGCGCATAAATACGTCACTAAATAATATCTTACCTCATTTAACCACAAAACTGGATAATAAACATCATTTATCTCAGAAAGGTCACTGAAAGTAAAAGACAAACAACCATACACAATGACTGTATATTACATTAAAGATGCCCGTTCTACCAATTAGACATCAGAGAATAGTTCAAAAAAAACAAAGGAATGGTTTATTTTCGACCAAGCAAGCATACATTGAACATAAAAGTAACACATGAAATGTAATCATGGTTTTCATGTTATCTTAAAGAAAAGCAGAGGTCTGACTTACTCTGAACATGAAATTTGAGATCAATGAATGAATTCTGGAGATAAAAAAATATCAAAAATTTAAAGTACTTCCAAATTCCCATGTCTACTTATTTTTTACTCTAAAATACTTATTTTAACAGGAATTAATCTTTGCTGAAAAGAATCTTTTGGTGATTTGTAAAGAGTTTATTTTCACTGACTTTTGATGAGTTGAATGTAATCATCCCTTCAGCGAAAATAAATTCCAAGCAAATTCAAAGTATTTTACAGAAGCCACATCAAAAGAATTACTAAGAGATATATTCAAACCTGATATCTTTTTGCCTTGTTAAATGGACATTTACTTGCATTCGTTTATAAACACTCATCGATATACCAGTAACCTACAAGAAAAACTTCATTAGTAAAATTTGACAAACATAGCATAACTAGTAAAAACTTACTTACCCCTTGAGAATGTGTTCAGAGTGGATACAAATTAACGATGCATCCGCTGGCTGATACAATCTTTTTTGCAGACCTAAAGTGAAGATACCTGATTCTGCCGTAAATTTGCCCATCCGAAAAATCGATTTTACGGCTGGTGGGCGCTTATTTGGGGTTCAAAATTTCGAAAAAATAATCATCCAAAATTTTTTTGGAGACTTCTATTTTCACTGAAAAATCCAACTACGCAGACTTTCAACGCCGTTAGTTGGGTAAAAAACAATTCTGACGAAAAATGAGGTCATTGTAATTAAAAATATAATTAATTTTCGAATTTTTTTTTTTAAATGTTATATTTCAACCAAATTTTCCCCTTCACCTTATACAATTGGAAGAGGACAGGAAAAAATATATGAGACAACAAATAAAAAAACTGGTTTGCTTACATAATCATATTCAACTAGTGTTTGATGTTCTTCTTTGTTTGGGTTCATACACGGTAATATCACGTCTTTATCGGCGTACAGGAAATGCGGAAATGAATAAACAATCGGTGCACCTACAAATAAATCATCAAAACTATAATTATAGTATATCATTAGGGAACAACTTTTATTTTCTGAGAAAATTTGTTTGTAAATTTCATGAAATTTTGAATCACTATGAAGTGTCAGCAAAGTGTGTCAAGTGTCAGTGTCTTCATGAATGTCACAACATCATCAATTTGTAAAAGTTTCTGATGGAGAAAATTATGCATTAATTTACATAATTTAGAGCAACACCCCTATGATAACTGTGCATGTGACACTAAATAGCGTTGCAGCATGTTATACCATGAGCAATAGATGCAGAACATATACGAATGAGAGTAAACTATTGCATATATGGAGAGCTTTGATGTCAGTACTTAATAATATAATGCAGCTCACCTTCGTGGCAAACGCTCGTATTGAGTAGCCCTGATGGAAGACAGTTGTTTTTAGGTGTACAATATGCTGCATTATCTGGATTATCTGTGACATTGCCCAGTATATAGGAGTCAAGGACAAATCGATTAGCCGTGATTCCTCTCACTTCGACTTCTTTCTCAAACACTCCATAAACCGATCTAGAAATGTTGAAATTACGATACCATCATTTTTAATGAAAAAATTACTTTTTAAAAGTTATGATCAAAAAATTGCATTTGACAATCACAATGCAATAGTGGATGTACTGACCAATTACAAAGCAAAAATGAATGAATTGACCCAATCAAAATGCAGTAGCAGATGAATTGACAAATCACAATGGAATAGCAAATATTGTCTGATAGAATTTTACAATGGTTAATGTGAACTTAATATGGTCATAGCGCCACCATGAGTCAGTATAATGCAATTCTTTTGTTGAAACATAGAGGGTGTTAAATGATTCAGAAACACTGTCCTTGGTATTTAGAAAGACATGTTAACAACAATGCGAATGATCACGTTTTCCCTGAACTTGTGTGAATGAGTGTTATTTCCACAATCGTATACTATTTAACTATTGCTGATTCAACCTATTTGCTTATTTCTGTGAATATTTCAAGCCGTGTAAACTCTTATTATATATTGATCACTGCTGTACACTGTGCCATCCAAACGAAAAGAAATTTTGAATACTTTGTATGGAATTTACTTTCATCAAAAGTTGAATGTAAAATATGTGTGCATGTATTTGTTTCTTGATAAGACTCACTATTCCGGAACCAGATCTCGATCTGTGTGTTGACGGATTTGATCTAAACTTGGTACATACATACATTGAACACAATGGGACCCTGATGCACATCATTTTATTTTTTGGATCACATTCAAAATGGCCAACTGGTGGCCATTTTGTTTTAAAGAATGCAGTCCTGGATTCATATATCTGATATGCCTGGACAGATCAAGTTCAAACTTCACTCATACATCAAACATTAGGTCATATATTTGACCATGACAATGATATTGGTAGTCAGCACCAACAACCTCTACTCTATGAAGGATTTGGTTGAGAGGGCTATACAAATGTAAACATTTGCAGAATACATTCGTTGTCATGTGATATGATATTACTCATGTGTTAATGTTGTGTGTATATAAGACTATGGTACAATTGTCCC